AGAATCAGAGGTGCTAGTTTCAAATCCTTTTTAGTCTGAAATCTGTATGCTAGATATTGAATAAGGTGGTTTTATTGTTTTTTGTCACTTTGAATAATATTTCTGTTCATGTTAAAAACGAAATCAACTCTCTGTATAAATATATCAGGTGACCGTTAAGGCCCATGGGCCTCTTGTATATTAATCTCTTCCCTGGCAAAAATTGGAATGCGCCTGTGAGTATGACTTAAATGAAATGAAGTCCGACAATGAAATGAGTCTGACACTAAATTATACCTTGTAACATATCTATATTACAGCTAAGTGATGCTATCAGTATAATTGGACGCGAGGACTTCCCAGAAAAGTGGCCAGACCTTATCACAGAAATGGTGACCAAGTTTCAGACGGGCGACTTTCACGTTATCAATGGAATTCTTCGTACTGCTCATTCTCTGTTTAAAAGGTTCTATATATGTTCTTTCATTACTATGTAATCATTTGTGGGCACTTGTAACATTTTAATACTAACCATTTCATTGATATGATCTTTGGCTGTAACATTTTAATACTAACCATTTCATTGATATGATCTTTTGCTGTCAGCCAGTTCCTTAGCAGTTTGTTACTAAAATTGTACATTATATTAATGATTGAAGCCCACTTGTGCTTCAAACAGCTGGATAACCACAGTTTTGTAAAATTTGTTCTTCAAGGTGAACATCTGATTTTAACATCAAAAGTCGACTAGCTTGTGTTTGTTCCCCTATTGAAGTATATAAAAATAACTGCATTGACTTTTCAGATTTAGGTGATGTGCTTCATCAGTTGTAAGGACTTATTGGTGAAAGATTTGTGATCAATAATATTCTTGTCCTGTGCATCAATCAATAGTGCTTACCTCCGATATATTCTGTGTCGTAACAACTCTTCCTGTTGTGTTCCTAGCTGAAAGCTGTTTCAAAGTTCAGAAGTATTGAAATGTGTACTATGCTAAATGTTATCATTGATTTATTCTTGTTCATTTAATTAATTAAATTGTATTCAACTGTAGATATCGTCACGAGTTCAAATCACAACAATTGTGGACAGAAATCAAGTTTGTTCTGGAAAATTTTGCGCGACCGTTCACTGAACTGTTCAATGTAAGTATCATTAATGTATGACATTGGTACGTTATATAACTAGTGAGGTTTCCATCCACTGAAAACCTCCCCTGTGTCACTGGTATATAATCTTACAAATGCACTTTGATGTTTAAAGGTTTTTGACTCATTAAATTGACAAAGACTGAAAGATTCTTTGACAGAAACTGGAGAATTGTTAAATGTGTTACTTCCTGTCAGTAAAGTTAGCAGGGGAATTATGTGGCTGTTATTAGTTGTTGTATGCTGTTTTGTTTTGACGTCATGTGTATATATAAGACATACTTCCTGATATCTTGGGAATAAAAGAATCTTGTGAAGTTTTATTTTTAATCACTTTCCTCATTGCAGGCAACAATGGACTTAGCCAAGACCCATGCCACCGATCCTAGTGCCCTCAAAGTCATCTTCAGTTCCATAGTCTTAATTTGTAAAATATTCTATAGTCTCAACTTCCAGGTAAGAAGCACTTGTTAATGTTTAACCCTTTCACCCCTATGTATCTTTAGTAGACTCTTCCATGCATTGATCTGGATGAGTCCATTATGGTCTACAGTGGTGAAAGGGTTAAGTAATCTCATTTTCAGGCAGACTTTGCTAGTTAGCCCCAACACTTTTATAAGCTGTCCCGTATCAATAGTTTAAAAAGATTTGTGAAGTTCTCTATAACATATTTTGTAATTCATTAAGGTGAAGCCCGATTCGTTTTGAGATAAACATATCAGATGTATATAGTTCGACAGGTAAACAGAGACAAAAGTGAATTGTAAATTGTTTTTAATACCACATGTTTGACAAATATGATATATATAAGTTGACCCAAACATTGATATTACTGGTTATTGTTTGTCGAATAATTATTAGAAGCCGTTTGTTACAGGATATAAGAATGTCATTATTGTAGTATTACTTTATTTGTGATTAAAGGACTTACCAGAACACTTTGAGGATAATATGGCCATTTGGATGACCCATTTCCTGACCCTGTTAAGTGCAGACAATAAACTCCTACAGACAGAGGTAATATATAACATGTTGGTTTTAATTGACACTTACCACTCCTCTACATCAGTAAATTTATCTGTTCACCCAGAAAAAACATTGGATCCTCTTAAACAGATCAATAATATATCAAATAAAATCATTTAGCTTGTATTAAATAGCTTGCTTTCTATCAAGATTGTTCAAATAAATTTGACCTTGAAACATGAAGGTCACAAATGTGGTGTGCAAACAACATTTAATGATTTGAGAGCAATACAGACCTATTGGGCCTCTTGTTTAGAAGAAACAATACACCTTAGAGTTAATGACAATAAGTAGGCAGTTACCTGTTTCATGTTCACGAACAGGTAATAAGTAACAAAAAGTGAAATCCTTTTACAGAAATCAAACCGGTATTCAGAAAAAGTGCCGGTTTGATGTTGTTAAATAAGGATTGTGAAGTTGTTTCCTGTTTGATCTATTTCCTTTTCCATTTGATTTAGCTATAGCACGTTAAAACTTTTAATATATCAGGAAATGTAAAAAATAAATATTTTTTACTGCAGGAGTACATTTTTAAAAAAAAGTACAACTTTTTATAAGACAGTTGTTTAACTTTTGATATAACAAGTGTACAGCTTTGAAGTGGCAGGCATACAGCTTTTGTTGTATTGTGCTGAGATCTTTAAAACTGTAATTAACGAAAACATGATAAACCAAATATATCTTCATGGTCATTTGAAAGTTTGCAGGAAGTACATTGTACATTTTTCAGGACATTAAAGATCAAAAGTGAAGATTAGGATTTGAGGCTAGACAGTAACAGTGTGTTTTATAACATGAATCTTTCACTGGGCCTGTATTCATGGCATTGGTCTCGTGCTCAAACTCAGATTCTGTGCTCAAGCATAATTTTCTTGTTCCCATGATAAATTAATAGAGAAAAAACAACATATTTTGTCAATATTATGGAAGAATTTCAGACACTTACATCTAAATAAATAAAGCAAAATGCTAAATTAAAACAAAATAAAGTAATATAGTACAAACAACGCCAGTAGCAGTTGGAACCCCGTAGAAGAAACCAAAACACGGAAGGCTGAAGGAATTATGAAGTGGGAACCATGGCTTCGTGTCTGATCGCGTGTGTGAATACTGCCGTCTGATTGTTTGGTTTTCCAGGGGTTCCCCATGGGGGGAAAAATTCTTTATTTACGTATGTTAAGAGCCAAGTAAGGTTGGAATATGCATTATAATGACTGGAAACCTATTTTGAAATAGTAACTGTTTGTCAGTGTTTACACTTATGGGTAACTTTTTGACCATCTTACAAAATATAGTTGAGTTACATAAAAGTTTGCCTGATCACAGAATTCATGCTTGCGCATGAAAACAGGCTCTGACCTTCCAATTCAAAAATTAAAGACAGACCTTTATCATTTTGCTAAGTTTAAACATGGGTTGATTGGCAGGATGAAGAGGAGGCTGGCCTCCTGGAGCAGGTGAAATCTCAGATCTGTGATAACGTTGCCCTCTACGCGCAGAAGTATGACGAGGAATTCTCTCAACAGCTGCCCCAGTTTGTCACTGCCATCTGGAACCTCCTGGTCACTACTGGTCAGCAAGTCAAGTATGACCTGGTAAGGATCTTGTCTGAGAATATTGGGCTGTTGTTAGATCACCTGGTCCAAAGGACTGGTGAGCTTATGCCGCGGGTCCGTCGTCTGTCTGTCCATCAACTTTTCCTTTAAACGCTACTTGTCCTGAACAGTTCAGGGAATTTTGACTAAAGGTCTGGAGCATCCTAGGCCAAAGGGGATTACATTTTGTATTAAAGGAGGGTGTGGCCCTCTTGGGGGCTGAGGGGCAGGGTATCTTTAACTTACAAACCTTCTACTTCTGTACCGTTAGAGAAATTTTTAACCAAATTTGATAACAAGCATCCTTTGGCAAAAAGGACTCGATTTTGTATCAACGGAGGGTGTAGCCTCCCCCCCCCCTGGGGGCATAGGTGCGTGGCCAAATCGGGGTAAGTGGGTAAGTTAATGTAAACTGTTTAACATCGTTCTCCCTCTTTATGAATGGAGGGATTTGAACCAAACTTTGTCAGAATGTCCTTGGGAATTCAATTTTGTATAAACAGAGGGTGCACCGACCACCCTGGGGGCAGAGGGGTAGGGCCTATAAAGGAGAACATAGGGATAACTTTAAAATCCTTCTTCAGTACGATGTTTTTTTTTTAAACAAATTTGGTATTGAGCATTGCCCAAGGTGACTCAATTTTGTATAAACGAAAGGGGGGCCTTCCTGGGAGTAGATGGGTGGAAATTGAGGTAAATTTTTTAAATCACCCCACTTCAGCAGGGCAGCCAAAAAAAAGGACTCGATGAAGGGCAGGTGATGCTGAGTGACAGAGCCAATATTTGGCAATATGTAGTGTTATGTTATGAGCAAATATTAGGAAGTATGCAGTGTTACATTTTAATGAGAATATATTCCCATGATTATCAAGGTGAGCAATACAGGCCCTCTGGGCCAGTATTTTTATCAGTACTTATAACTTTCGGATTTAAACACTTAACACCTGATTAATAATGAGGGCTTAAAAACACACAACTTAACATGATGAAAATAATGATAAGTTAGCTTTAATGTTATGGAAGCAAATGTGGTCTGATTTAATACCACAGAAGATTTGCAGAAAAAATCTGTTTATTTGAGAAAAGTAAATTTTACTAATTAGTTTTAATATTTAAATGAGTAAAGGTGATAAATCTCCTTATTGTTAACAGTTGGTAAGCAATGCCATCCAGTTCCTGGCGTCTGTTGCCGAGCGACCATCATACAAAAGTTTGTTTGAGGATCCAGCAACCTTGTCCAGCATCTGTGAGAAAGTGATTGTTCCCAACATGCAGTTTCGAGGTATGGCAGTAGTCTTTTTATTGTGCAGTACAATACAATACAATGACATATATAAACAAAGCTGCTACCTTTATCATATGAATTGGAACCTTCAATATTTTCAGTTGAATAGAAATTACAAAAAGTTCACAAAAAATGCTGTTTAGGGGAATAAATGCAAATTGAAATACAAGATTGGTAGCAAAAATAAATTTAAGAAAACAAGTGATTTCTTGTCAGATTCTGATATCGGTACAAAACCCGAATACACCGTTTTTCACTCACCTGGCATGAAGTGCCTGTGAGATTATGGTAAGGTGTGCTGTCTGTTGTCCGTCAAATTTGTCTTTGAACGACTTCTTCTTAAGAACCGGAGGGCCTACGGCCATGATATTTGGCCAGTAGGTACCTGGCATGAAGAACTATTAAGTTTCCCCAAATAAATGACCTTGACCTACTTCTAAGGTCAAATGGATCAAATATGTATTAATCTTTAAACAACTTCTTCTGCATTACAAGGAGGCTGTGAGTGATGATATAAGACAGTAGCATGATTGGATAGAGTAGTCTGAAGTTTCATTTAGTCTGAAACATTCTTAATTAAGCCAGGGTGACTCATTACATGGAAATATTTGCAAATTACTTTAACGAAAAACATTTCCCCATGATTGTTCAAATATCTAGGTGAGCAATACGGCCAGGCACTCTAGGCCTCTTGTTAAGGTTATGTCATTTGTTTGAAGAAAACATAGGGTTATGTTAATAAGCAATGTGGCATTAAGTAAAAATCAATGTATTTACAAAATTGGTTTGACTTTATTTGACTTTCTTGTCGGAAACAAATTGTATGTTTTATTTTACAGCTGCAGACGAGGAATTGTTTGAAGATAACCCTGATGAGTATATCAGGAGAGACATCGAAGGTTCTGGTGAGTAATGGATGTAAACTCATCATAGGTATCAACCTCTGAAACCTCCAGTGAGGGAGATCTCCCTCATTCCATTTCTTAATGGAGGGGTAAAGTGCAAAAACCTTTGCAGTGTTTATGTCAGGAAGGAAGTGTTCACCGCACAACTTCACATTGATAGTTATAATTACTGCATACTGTGAAATTTGAAAAATAGATTCAAAAACATTATTTGACACTATCCTAAAAGCTTTTAAAGCATGGTTGCATCTTTATATTAATAAAATTTATAGCTCACCTGACCTGAAGGGCCAAGTGAGCTTATGTTGTGGCACAGCATCCGTCATCCGTCCATCGTGCGTCGGGCATCAACTAATAACCAAAAAGACCAGGGTGATGATTTTTGGCCAGTAACATGCTGGGATAAAAAGGTTACTTTTAAGGTCACTGGGGTCAAATGTGTTTAAATCTTTTAACAGGTTCTTTTGAATCATAATGATAATTTGCCTGTAGCTTTATTTTAGTCCACTTTTAAGGTAAGTGATGCAGGCCCATCGAGCGTCTTGTTTCTTGAAATGACTTCTTGGCCTAGGCTAATGGGATTTGAAGGGATGAAAGTTTACCAACTTTGTTCAAATGAATGACCTTGACCCATTTTCAGGGTCACTGAGGTCAAATATGTTTTAATCTTCAAATGACTTTTTTGAATTACCAAAAGTCCCTGGGAGATTATATTAGAGCAATATAATGCTGGAATGAAGTGCTATAAAGGCTGTTCAAATAATGGACCTTGACCCACTTCAGGGTCACTTGGGTCAAATGTGTAAAAAGTCTTCAAAAACTTTTTCTGGATAACCAAAAGGTGCAAGGTGATGATATTTGGATTAAATGCCTAGCAGTTTGCTATAGTATTTCATCTGAGGGTCTAACAGACGTCTTGCAACTAGGTATTGAAAGAAAAACCCTGTGTTGTAATGGAACAATGTAACCTAGAATGTGTTAAGTCTGATCTGTGATATTTACCTTACTACAAAACTATTGTTTGATATTTATATAGATGTGGACACACGGAGACGGTCAGCCTGTGACTTGGTGCAAGCACTCAGTAAATCCTTTGAGGGAATCGTAATCCAGAACTTCTCTCAGTACATACAAGCTCTTCTCGAGGTAAATATTATATACTTCTCTGCCATTGAGCCATACATGGTATTAGGTGAAGAGTAGAGAGGACACGTTTGATTGTGATTCCCGTTACACAAATTGTTTCCCTCTTAGTCCTTACTTTGAATTTTAACAGTTGTTTTTATTCGCGCATCTGACCAGAAGGGTATAGTCCCCCCCCCCCCATTGGGCAGAAGGGGCAGGGCCAAACAGGAGAAATGAGGTTAATCTTCAGAAATCTTCTCCTTCTAAAGTAATTGAGGGATTTTGACCAAATTTGTTACAGAGCATCTTTGGACAAAGGGGACTCAGTTTTGTATATAAATTTTTACAATTTTAGCAAAATTATCGACTATTCCGACTGACAGGTCACGATCGGCATAATGATGAATTGATGCATCCACAATGTACAAAATAGAGAACAAGATACAGAAACTTTGATTTGTACAATCATAATTAAACACAATCTTTAACCCTTTCACCACTGTAGGCCATAGTTGACTCATCCAGATGAATGTATGGTAGGGTCTACTCAAGTTACGTTGGGGTGAAAGGGTTAAAGAAAGAATCAAATTTTTAAAGAAAACTCATTTTGAACTTTGTAGACTTACAACTGAATTATCTATACATTTATTCATGATTGTTTATACATTTCTTTTTTTCTTGAAGGAATATTCTAAAAATCCTACAGGAAACTGGAAATCTAAAGATGTGGCGTTGTACCTCGTAACTTCTTTAGCAGCCAAAGCTCAGACACAGAAGGTAAGATCTTAGCTTTGATTGCAATGTTACAAACAAGCTTTGACATATAAATTGAAGTTTAAAAAAAAAAAAAAATGAAAAAAATGACTTTCTTTTTTAAGGCCAAACAAAGAATGATGTTGATGATTGTTATGGCGTATTTTGACAGAATCAATTTTGAATTACAAATCATTCTGAATAGAAGCAAGTTTTGGTGATGTTTATAGATACATTGATAAGGTGGACTTATATTCCAGACCTGTACCTGGTACATAGTGTGTCCTTATGATGTAAACATGAAACACCTGTCTGTTTGTAGCACGGTATAACTCAGACAAGCAGCTTGGTAAACATCACCGACTTTTTCCAGTCCCACATAGCTCCAGATCTACAAGCCAGTGACGGTGAGTCTAACCTCACACGATATAACAGGCATAGGCACACAGTGCCACTCTTCTTCCACAGTACAGCTGTCTGTTTACATGTTTCAATGTTCCTGGCCCAGAAACAACTGTCTGTTTACATGTTTCAATGTTCCTGGCCCAGAAATAGCCGTCTGTTTACATGTTTCAATGTTCCTGGCCCAGAAACAGCTATCTGTTTACATGTTGCAGTGTTCCTGACCCAGAAACAGCTGTCTGTCTGCATGTTTCAATGTTCCTGGCCCAGAAACAGCTTCTGACCCAGAAACAGCTGCCTGTTTACATATTGCAGTGTTCCTGGCCCAGAAACAGCTATCTGTCTACATGTTGCAGTGTTCCTGGCCCAGGAACAGCTGTCTGTTTACATGTTGCAGGGTTCCTGGCCCAGAAACAGCTGTCTTGTTACATATTGCAGTGTTCCTGGCCCAGAAACATCTGTCTGTTTACAAGTTGCAGTGTTCCTGGCCCAGAAACATCTGTCTGTTTACAAGTTGCAGTGTTCCTGGCCCAGAAACAACTGTCTGTTTACATGTTGCAGTGTTGCTGGCCCAGAAACAGCTGTCTTTTTACATGTTTCAATGTTCGTGGTCCAGAAACAGCTGTCTGTTTACATGATGCAGTGTTCCTGGCCCAGAAACAGCTGTCTGTTTGCATGTTTCAATGTTCCTGGCCCAGAAACCGCTGTCTGTTTACATGTTGCAGTGTCCCTGGCCAAGAAACAGCTGTCTGTTTACATGTTTCAATGTTCCTGGCCCAGAAACAGCTGTCTGTTTACATGTTGTAATGTTCCTGGCCCAGAAACAGCTGTCTGTTTACATATTGCAGTGTTCCTGGCCCAGAAACAACTGTCTGTTTACATGTTTCAATGTTCCTGACCCAGAAACAACTGTTTTTAGCTCATCTTCTCGATGGGCCTCTTGCTTTTTTAAAAAGTGGGATACTCGAGAACAAGCATAAAACCCCCAAATCATTTGTTTCTGGAACTAGTCTGGTAAACTGCTGTAATGTTGATTTACATATGATTTACTGCTATTTTTAATTTTACGTTTCAGTTAATGTCAGTCCCATTCTCAAGGCCGACGCGATTAAGTACTTAATGGTATTTAGAAATCAGGTGAGTGCTGGAACACTGGACAACTAAATGTGGATCATGTATAACTCGCCTCTTTGTTTCAATCACATTCTAAATCTACTTCAGAGAAACACTGCTGTAAATCGAGATTTAAGAGATTTACAATTTCTAAAGTCTCAATTTACTGTATTACAGTGTTTCTTTTACATTTAACAGGTCACTGTTACTACCTTAAGACAATTGTCAAACAAATCAATGCTTTTGGTCTGGTAACTTCATTTTGCAGTTGATTTTGAAAGTTCAATAATGAAACTGATTTTGCATGGCCACAAAGGCATTCATGTTGTTTTAAACAGATGATATGTGCTTAGGCAGAAGAAAAAATATTTTTTGTGATCAGTTTTAGTACTGACTTGTTAGCTTGGACCAAGATAGCAAATATTTATCTTCTATTTGATAGAGTAGCACTGGTATGTTAAAATAATATTAGGCTTCTGGTAGCACTGGTATGTTAAAATAATATTAGGCTTCTGAACTGGGTGTTTAATACCATTACCGCTACAGAATTCGGATATTGAAACTACACTTTCCACTGTACTCAAATCTGCAGTATTATGAGTCATAGAAATTTGATATCGGTCATCATGTAAAAGAGTGTTAAAAATAGCATATTAATTAACCTTAAGGTTTATGTGCCTAAATTTGCAATGAACAAATCTGACAGTACAAACCCATGGTGATTGGATGTACATTTGTGTAGCATATCATTAACTGGATTACAAATGTCAAACAAGCTAAAATGATAAGTTAGAATAATAAAACAATAGAAAAATGTATTTTTGACAAGAATGTTGATGTATGTTGATATAATTGTTATCCACACAACAGTTACCTCGGGAATCGTTAACGGCGAGTTTGCCACACCTGGTGCGCTTCCTGAAGGCGAACAGTCTAGTGGTGCACACATATGCCGCACACACCATAGAGAGGCTCTTCATGGTGCGCAGTCCAGACGGTGGCAAGCCTGCGTGAGTATTCCATATTTTGGAGTGATGTACAAGGAAATATAATGTACTATATGTTGAATAACTAACTATCAAATTTTGGGATTCAAGATTGCTGTGTTTGCCTCTAGATAGTACATTAAAGCCAATAAGATGAGCTCTATTGGGGCGATTGGAATGCTTTATTTACACGAGTTAGGATAGTTGGAGCGACACTGGTGATAGTCTGCCATGAAAATGGTCAAACTGGAAAACATCGTGATGCATATTTTAATGATGACAATGGGTACGAAATCTCATCAAAGTCTGTTAAAAATTACCAGCTGTTGTCCACATACAGTAAGTTCGACTATAACAGGGACTAATTAGTATGTGGACAACAGCTGGTAATCTTGAACAGACTTTGATGAGATTTTGTACCCATTGTCATCATAAATATTGATCACGATATGTTTTCCAGTTTGACAGAGCAGGGGGTATTATTTACAGTTCTAGTCGACGATTTTCGAGAATAGATCTGGTCATCTTAGTCAGATACCAGCCATTTGTCAAATTTCATAAAAATTACTGGAATTTGGAGATAGTTTCACTAAGTTTTATGGATTAACTCTTTTACCTCTAGGTAACTTCACTAGATTCTACCCATACATTTATCTGGATGAGTCCATTATGCTCTACAGTGGTGAAAGGGTTAAATAGTCTTTATCCAGATCAACCATATTTGACATTTATTTCTGACTGAAAGGTGATACTGCAATGATGCCTGTCCATGTCTCGATCTAGTCATCACCAGCTAATGTACCTTAGAAGTGAATTTATAGTTCTCTCCATTCAGTGCTTGCTTTACAAGATGCACTAAATGATTAAAATCAAATAATTTTTGTTGCACCATTTTGTTGTTTATCTTACCAAAGTGTTATTGTAAAAATTTAATTCCGAATTTTAAGTCATCATATCTTGTAAAAAAGCTTGACAGAAAATTATGAAAATACCATGAGAGAGAAATTAAGTAACCTTAAAAGTGACTAAGGAAAATTACACTGAAAAAACATAGAAATGCATAAAATATGGAAGGAAACCTTGCCTGTGACCTTTAATTTGGCACAGGACTGTACATAGAAAAAGGGTACTGTTGATAGTTAGAAATACAATATACATGTTAGTTTATAGTAGTTCTATGAGTAACGGTCAGGACATTATGTTATTCAAAGCAATTTTCAGAAGTCATTTTTAAATCGGGGTTATTCCAGATAGACATCCATATATATATATAATGATGGGGTGTCTAAAATATTTGTTAGAATAAGACAGAAAAAAGGCACAACTATCCAGTTTTTACTGGTCAGACTTCTAATTTGTGAAAAACAAATCTTTTTCAGTGTTGCATACACAGATGTTCAGGCATTTGCTGGTGATATGGTCAATAATTTATTGGAGGCATTGAACCACCCAGGATCAACAGAAAACGAATACATAATGAAAGGTAGGTGGTAATGTATATATGCCACACACTTGTGTTTTTCTAACGAATCAGAAAGCACAAGTTGATTGCGCGGACGAATATTTACATCCGCACAATAAATGAGTGCATTCTGATTCGTTAGATATCACATACCTTCCGTATTTGGTAGAGATTAATTCAAAGATTTTGTAAACTTTGATTTTTTTTGCAAATACCGGGAACTTTTCAGTTTGCCATGACAAGGGGATTCCCATAAAAAGTAGTTCCGGCTAGGCTAGTAGGTAAATACAACATTCCGTATTGTCAATGTGCAATACCAACTGTATTTCATGGTCTGAAAATTGCTTGTATTACTATAACAAGATTCAACAGGTATGTGATCAAATGGAAAGCTAGCAAATTACAGCTTTTAATGTTCCCCTGTCACAGAGAGGCATCAGGTGTTTGTCTCTTCCCTTGGTCTGTATTTAGCTTCATTACTCTAATAGTAGAACTCCAACAGTTGTCAAATTTCACGTGAATAAATCTTGAGGAGTACTTTATCATTACAATATATCAAACATAGGTCATTTTAGCACCCCTTTCATCAAAGCAGAAGTGGGGTTATATGTATGTTTACATTTTGTAGGTCAGGTTTTTTACCCTGTTAGAACAATTATGCATTAAAATTCTCTAAAAAAAAAAAAATTTTTACAAATTAAGACAAAAGAAAAATCAGTAATTTTCAGACAAGATTTATAAGATTTCCTTGAGAGGTAAGAAGATTGCTACGATTAGAGACGTTTAACATGCTGTCTACGATTTCTACAATTAGAAACGTTAAACATGCTGTCCACGTTTACAGCTATCATGAGGACGATGTCCATGATGCAGGAGAATGTACTTCCATTTATGGCTCAGCTGATGAAGGTCCTCACAGAAAAACTCATACAAGTTAGCAAGGTAAGGACAAAAAACTCATACAAGTTAGCAAGGTAAGGACAAAAAACTCATACCAGTTAGCAAGGTAAAGTACAAAAACTCCAACACATTAGCAAGGTAAAGTACAAAAAACTCAAACACATTAGCAAGTTAAGGACAAAAATCTCATACACATTAGCAAGTTAAGGACAAAAACTCATACAAGTTAGCAAGTTAAGGACAAAAAACTCATACACGTTAGCAAAGTAAAGTACTCAAAGCTCATACAAGTTAGCAAGGTAAAGTACTAGAACTCGTACAAGTTAGCAAGGTAAAGTACTAGAACTTTTACAAGTTAGCAAGGTTAAGTACTAGAACTCATACAAGTTAGCAAGGTAAAAATGCCTCTATGATACAAACCTCCATGGCTAGCTATAGTACAGTTTGTATATAAAAACTTAGGTCTAATGGTCCATAGGTTTGTTCACTGAATCACTTCGCTAACAGTTGTTGTTCTATTGTATCTGGAAAAATTACAACTGTAGAAATTTCCTTTTATTAAGGGTCCTGATTTGATATTGGTAATAGACTTTAACGCAAATAGCAAAACAAGCAATACCGTTCAAGTTATTATGTAGCACATTAAAATTTACCATTATTTTAACCTTTACAGAATCCCAGCAAGCCTCACTTCAACCATTACCTTTTTGAGTCGCTTTGTATCAGTATCCGGTCCGTGTGTAAACACAGTATGGAGGCTATTCACCAGTTTGAACAGGCCCTGTTCACTCCCTTCACAGACATCTTACAACAGGACGTCCAGGGTACGTAGCTCTGTCATTTACTTCCGTAGAGTACTGTAAAAACCTTCGTAATATGTGCAGGTACTTTTTGGCATGAAAATGCTGAAAAAACCCCAACTCTACACATATATTTTGCTCATCAATTCTTCTCCTTTAAAGTGATGTCCAGAACCCCTGGAAAATGTACCTCTGACACAAAAACTTTCGACACATATATCTACTTTCTCTTGTTATTTATTCATTAAAAATGTCATTCATTTATAAATGTAATGACTTAAGATCTTTTGTGGGTTGACTCTTATTTAAAAAGACATTTTATGTTTCTTATGTCTGTGGCATATCTTCCATACTATTTCACCTGGAGTAACCAGATTTGGTGTGCAAGTATGTCTTGGCTGGCTGAGTGCGGAGTACAACAAGTATGTCTATGTATACTATCCTGAGATAGATCACAAAAAGGGGGTGGAGACACAACGTCCTAGATAACTGAAGTTCAATTTCTTGGTCAATTATACCGTGGATACCAAGAAGGTACGATAACACGGCAAATCTCTTCCAGACATCGGAATTTATTGGAGCAAGATTGACATGTTTCCACTCCGAGGCAAGTCATCATCAGAACAACACGGTATTGCGACGTCATCGATATGTGTGTAAACAATTAAATTGGTGACATGATAATAGGGTTCCCATAATTGCATAAGTAATTACATAGGCGGAATTAACTGTAAGGTATGTACTGTTACAAACCAAAGGTATACGTTAGATGGATTGAGAAATCCTGAGATAGGTATACACTTTGGTAAATAAAGACATCACTGTCGTTGAGGGACTATGGATTGACTTTTTCTGTAGATGTTGTGACATGACATACACAGAAAACCTTTCTGTTTACAGAGTTTGTACCCTATGTGTTCCAAATGCTGTCGCTGTTAATGGACTACCACCAGGGGGTTATCCCACACTCCTACATGGTTCTCTTCCCATTCCTGCTGGTGCCGGCTCTGTGGGAGCGTCCGGGAAACATCCCCCCTCTAGTACGGCTCTTACAGGCGTACATAGAGAAGGGAAACAATCAGATTGAGGCAGAAAAACTGGTAAGTAATGCACCATGTGATTAAAACAATTGAACTTTAAATATGTGTTTAAACATGGTTTGTGAAACAACATTTCTACAAAACTCCTCACCTTTATTTCTACTAATGGGAGTTCAATTTTAGTCACAACACCATCTGTAAGTACATGGTTTCCCAGTCATGTCTTCAGTGTGTCCTCTCCTGGCTTCAACAAGGACATAAGGAGGCCTAGACCTCACTTCTTAATGTTTGTTTGTGTGTTGAGGTCCAGTCCTCAATCCTTAATTCCATGACAGTGTACAGAGCCCAGTCTTCAATGAATTCTTTGGTTTTGCACCTGTGGAGGCCCCTATTCCTCCATATTAACTTTACTGATTATTTCATTTCTCCATGAATACTTTCGACTATTACTGTCAGTCTGGTGCATCAACAAACAATACTCAGGGATAGTATAGACAGTCTAAAAACTGCATCCTGACAGCAGAAACAATACTCAGGGATAGTATAGACAGTCTAAAAACTGCATCCTGACAGCAGAAACAATACTCAGGGATAGTATAGACAGTCTAAAAACTGCATCCTGACAGCAGAAACAATACTCAGGGATAGTATAGACAGTCTAAAAACTGCATCCTGACAGCAGAAACAATACTCAGGGATAGTATAGACAGTCTAAAAACTGCATCCTGACAGCAGAAACAATACTCAGGGATAGTATAGACAGTCTAAAAACTGCATCCTGACAGCAGAAACAATACTCAGGGATAGTATAGACAGTCTAAAAACTGCATCCTGACAGCAGAAACAATACTCAGGGATAGTATAGACAGTCTAAAAACTGCATCCTGACAGCAGAAACAATACTCAGGGATAGTATAGACAGTCTAAAAACTGCATCCTGACAGCAGAAACAATACTCAGGGATAGTATAGACAGTCTAAAAACTGCATCCTGACAGCAGAAACAATACTCAGGGATAGTATAGACAGTCTAAAAACTGCATCCTGACAGCAGAATAAACTCAACAGCAACTATGTACACATACAAATACTGCAGGAGAGAAAAACATTTGATGCAAAATGGACTATTCAGGACCATTAAAAGTTAATTCTTATTTTCTATATCTCAGCACATGTTCAACACTAACATGTGTCGGTAGCTTTTATTTACCTACTAATTCATGGGGGCTCTCATCTGCTGCACATACTCATTTGGGCCTTATCATTTCTGTGTAACTCAGCTCCTGCCCCCATTCGTAGGGGGAGCTGTAGCACGTATATGCAGGGATTGTTAAACAGCCCAGCTGCTTTCTGGCACTCTTTAAACATGTGAACTAAACTAGAATCGACCTTCGGCACAGCTCTTGGCAGTTCATGAAGAGTATCGAAATATATTGCCATGAAAATTTTTGTAATATGATTATAAAAACACCATTTTTTTTTTCATTTTTTTTAACTTCTGTACCACAATTAAAACAAATTACCATCGTCCAGTCTTACAAAGATTATCATATAGCACTCTAGCGTTAAGAAGAATAAAATAATCTTGAATTTTCATGCATTGATATGTTTCTGCATAGTGTTGGTATGTTTTTCAGCAAAAACCAATTCGGTGATCTGTATATGTTATTGTTTATTGTTTTAAGTTCCTGTGTCAGAATATTTTTGGGGTTATCTACCTGAATGTAAGTGTATGTAGCTTGTTCAATTTATCATTTGAATGTGTTTTTACGAATTTCTCTATTCTTTTCTTGTAGAATGGATTACTAGGCATCTTCCAGAAACTTATTGCCTCTAAAGTAAACGATCATGAAGGATTTTATCTACTCAACAGTATCATAGAGCACATGCCTCAGTAAGTTTTACAGTTCTAAACATTATTGTGCTAGGCTAACAAATATAGAGTGTGCAGGAGAGAAAATCACCGATCTGGTCAATCTGGAGATGGTATTGGTCACAAGAAGATCCATTGGGGAGAACACATAAATCAGACAGATGTTTAAAAAAATAAGATGACTTGAAGAAATGTATTTTAGGGAGAGAATCGGAGATAGGGACAGTGGATTATACAATGTGCAGACCACAGTGGATAGTAAATCGATTTAGAAAGAGAACATGACTTTAGTACAGACGATGGTGTAGGATGATCAATAGATATACCTGGGTATGGGGAAGCATATGAGATCAGTCATTAGAATTCGAACATACAAAGACAGGACAGCAGAGTGTAGGAAGTTGATTTAGGAATACCATATTAATATTATATAATATTTCTAGCCCACCATCATCAGATGTCATCCACTGTCGGTCCGTCAACCTTAAACAGTTGTTATTATCACTTTTTCTCAAAAAGCACTTGACAGATCTTTTCTCAAATTTCATTAATATGAAGGCCTTCTATGGTGCTTAGTTGTGAGAGTAATATGAAAAACAAGATGGCCACCAGACCGCCATCTTTGATTTTGAGTGTAAAACAGTTCTTATTATCGCTTTTTCTCAAAAAGCACTTGACAGATCTTTTCTCAAATTTCATTAATATGAAGGTTTCCTATGGTGCTTAGTTGTGAGAATAATATGAAAAACAAGATGACCGCCATCTTTGATTTTGAGTGTTAAAGTTTGTTATTGCTATTTCTTAAGACATACTTGACAGAGCTTTCTCAAATTTCCCATGAGAGTTCTCCTTGGACTTTGTTGTACATGTTTCATTTTGGGACTAATCAGAAAGAAAGAAAAATGGTCGAAAGGCAGCCAGATTTTGATAGTTCAAGATAATCATCACTATTTCTCAGCATGTCACAGATCTTGCTTAAATTTCAATGTTTCCCTCGGTCCTTAGCACATGTATCATTTTGGGACTTTTTGGTGAGACAAGATGGCCACCACTTATAAGCACTGGGACCTCTGGTTGTGTTAGGTTTGGAGTATTTTGCCTTTCCACTGTAGTTTTATGTCCTGCCATGATAGCGTAGACATTAAGCATTACCCTCTGGATACAATTGTATACAGGATGCACAATCTTGTACTGCAAAGAAAATTAGGACTTTGAGATTTTTTTTAAATTATGAAATATCTTTTATGAGATTAAATTAGAAAAATATATATTACATTTTGTTTTATTCCTTCAAAAAAAATGGAGGATGTGCATGAGGTTCCGACATAATTGTTTTCTTCTTTTTCTGTTACACCATATGTAAAGGTCTGATTTGTGCTGAGATGCTGATGTGATTTTTTTGTTTTTACAGTGAAGTCGTCACGCAGTACACAAAACAAATATTTGTTTTGATATTTCAAAGACTTTCCAGTTCAAAAACAACAAAATATATCAAAAGTAAGTAATAATGTAATTGTTTTAAAAATGATTAGGATGTTATTGACTTTAAAATAAGTCCCCAGTTTGATGGATGTTATAGAGGATTTAATGTTTTTTGGACAGCTATGCCATTATTCCAGGTAGACATCTGTAAATAGATGATCAAGGTATCTTTCATTGTTTGATATTCTAGGTCTGCTGGGTTTCTTCAGGTTTTTATACGCCCGTCGAAGACGGGGACGTATTATGTTATCACGTGAGCGG